AAAAAAAAAAAAAAAAAAAAAAAAGATACTTAATGTCTTTTAAAGACACGTCAGCCTTTTTAAAAAATCAAAATGCTCTATTCTTCTCTGTTAGTAGTTTATCAGGTAGTTTCTTAGTTTTTCTCATCTTCGGGTTTGATACCCCCCGACTTTGTGTACATTTGCATTCCCTTTAGGTTCTCGCCTTGTTACATCTGGCTCACCTCTCCAGCTGTCCCGCTGGGGGCCCTCATGGGCGTTTCTCATTTGCTTGAAGACAGTATCATTTCTGTTGGTCATAGGTTCTGCTCCTGAGTCTTGTGGATGAGAAATCGTTTTTACTCTTCTCTGCAGCAGGTCCCAAGCGGCCCTAATGGAACCCTTTTGTTTACTTTCTGGCCTAAAGTAAGGGAACCTTTTGATCTGGGAAGTCACCGTTGAAAATTTTGATTTGTAGAATGTGGTTGGATTTATTTTTAGAGGTCCCTTTTTTCTGTCACAGCTTCGCATACACCTCCTGTCCTCCCCTCAACTATTAGTTTCTATTTTTCAGTGCTAAGATTCTAAGAAAAGCAAGGTTAAGACGTCACTAATGTTTCTGTGAAATTTTCAGGACTTTTCCGCCATTGGTCTTAGTTTTTTTAAATCTACCTTGCAGGGTCTCTCTCTCTCTCTCTCACCCCCTCCCTCCCCCTTTATAAATGGATCTATTTATACACGACTCTCAAATGATATACTGTGGGCCGGGCACGGTGGCTCACGCCTGTAATCCCAGCACTGTGGGAGGCTGAGGTGGGTGGATCACTTGAGGTCAGGAGTTTGAGATCAGCCTGGCCAACATGGTGAAACCCCATCTCTACTAAAAATACAAAAATGAACCAGGCATGACGGCGTGTGCCTGTAATTCCAGCTACTCGGGAGGCTGAGGCATGAGAATCATTTGAACCCAGGAGGCACAGGTTGCAGTGAGCCGAGTTTGCGCCCATGCCCTCTAGCCTGGGCAACAGAGCAAGACTCTGTCTCAAAAAGAAAAAGATAGATACTGTTGAAGAGAGTGGTGAAATAGACGCTCTAAAGTGGTAAATAATCACTTCCTTAGGCTGATATACAAACAGTACATTATTCATCTCCCTCCCTCCACAGAATTATGTTTCTGGTTGTCTAGCTTTGCCTTATATTAAAATTTATTTTTAAAAGTTGGGGCTGGGCGCAGTGGCTCACACCTGTAATCCTAGCACTTTGGGAGGCCAGGGCAGGAGGGTTACTTGAGCCCAGGAGTTTGACACCAGCGTGGACAACAGAGACCCCATCTCTATAAGAAAAAATTGTTCAAGCATTAGCTGGAAATGGGGGTGCCTGCCTATAGTCCCAGCTACTCAGAAGCAGAGGTGGGAGAATCGTTTGAGCTCCGGAGTTTGAGGCTGCAGTGAGCTATGGTCATGCCACTGCACGCCAGCCTGGGGGACAGAGCAAGACCTTGTCTCAAAAAAATGAAAGTCAGTGAATGTACCTAAACTACGTAGTGAAAGAAAATGAACTGGATTTGTACTGAGGGGAAGCTACCCACCATGAAAAAATTGGATGAATGAATGGATGCCTGTGTGTGTTTTATAAAATTATATATTATGTATGAGTTTACACACACACTCTACAAAGACATGTGTTTCCGTACACAGTCTTGAGGTAATTACTATTGTGTGTGTCATGACCTCTCTCCACTCCCCAGTTAGAGAATTTTAGGATCTGGAACACGCCTGTGGATGTTTTTTACTGATGACTATGAATGCCTCGAAGGGTGTGGTACAGGCTGTCGAAACTCAGTAAATAAATACTGGTTAGATGGTGTATCGATACTTTCAGCCAAATTCTATTCCGAAGAGATGTTTTCCTATAGAGGGCATGAAGTCACGCAACTGAATTGTATTTTCTGAATTTCGAGGTTGAAGTTTTGCAGCTACACGGTGCGTATAGCAGAACTCACCTGCTCAAACGCTCCAATTCCCGGTTCTTTCCCAGTGCGGGGCAGCTGCTTAGATTTGGATAAGGAGAGGCTGGGCGCGGTGGCTCAAGCCTGTAATCCCAGCACTTTGGGAGGCCGAGGCGGGTGGATCACGAGGTCAAGAGATCGAGACCATCCTGGTCAACATGGTGAAACCCCGTCTC